GCTTTAATCTGAGAATCTGGCGTTTCTGGCAAAACACAGTTATATTTAAAAGTCGATTCAGGATTTAATGAATTGATATTGCTTTATTCAAGCTACTCACCTCCCACTTCCACCTGCACTTTCAACTGGACCACGGCCAATCAGAGAGGTCCCACCCCTTACTATCTCTGATTGGTTTAGTCCACGATAGGGGCATAATGTGTGTCTGTTGTTGACCACAGGGAATGTTGCAGATTTTATTTTATTTTTTTTGCTACCCGAACAGTTGGTCGCACAGGTGCAACCAATTTTTTATTTTTAGTCGCACCACTGAAAAATGTGGTCGCATTTGCGACTAAATTGGTCGCACTCTAGAGCCCTGCCTGATGTGGGGCATGAAGGATTTTAAATTGTACTCTCGATTCAACAGGGAGCCAATGACGAGAAGCTAGATAGGAGAAATATGCTTTCTCTTTCTAGTCCCTGTCCATATTATTGCTGCAGTATTTTAGATCAACTTATCCTCTATAACTTAAAGTGGTCAGTTTGACATATATTACAAGTGTCATTATCCTGTTTTTCTTCCTGGCATTATCCAGTTTTTGAGTTTTGTTTTGGACTCGTTATTCACTTTTTTGATAGTAAGAAGTTAATTATGTTCTAGTTGAGGGTGTTACTTTCTGGTTCCTCTGAGTTTGTATTTATAGTTTTTGATTTCTGGTCTGTTCATGTCTGTCCCAGTCTCATCTCCATGTTTTGTTATTCTTGTTTTGTTTGTCTCAGTGTGTGTGTTACAGAGATGGGCAGTAACGCGTTACTTGTAACGCTTTACTGTAATCTGATTACTTTTTTCAAGTAACGAGTAAAGTAAGGGATTACTATTGCAAAAAAGGTAATTAGATTACCGTTACTTTCCCGTAGGAACGCTGTGTTAATAATTCAATGTCCACGTTAACGATCATTTCGCTTTAGGTACTTTTCTTTACTGCGTTACTAAAACCATGATTTTTTTGCTAGAATGTCTCATGACAGTGACGTAAGTGAGTGCAACGTTTGTGACAACAGCTGTGTGCAGATCAACAATGGATAATATATCAAGTGCAGGAGAGAGTATGAGCATGGAGCGTTTAAAGTGTGGAAGTACTGACCCTACTTTAGGTATGATTCCATAAAAAGTGACAAAAACATTAGTGTCCGTTGTGCGTGGGAAGAAAACTTCTTTTTACAGCGAAAAAAAACCCCTAAACACCGAGTGCGCAACGACGTAATGGGAAATTCACAGAGAAACTCGCGGATTCTTCAACTGACCGCTGCGGCACACCTGCACCAGGGCAAACCTCCGCCTACGCCACTCCTGCTTTACAGGTGAAAATAGAGCAAAAAGGACCGCTAGTCTTTGACTTTATTTATTTTCTGCTG